ACCTGAGCTGATGGAGCAGTATGGAGACCGCGATCATTGTTGGCAGCCGGGGCGTTGTTTGGTTCTGGAGATGTCTCCCCTTCCTCCCCCACATGGACTAGTTTCTGTTGAATAGCATTGGCGTAGTCGGCCATATAGCTCAGAATGAAGTGGAGAGGAGGGCTTTGGAAGACCTCGGTTTCGTTGCCATAACCGAGCTGTGACAAAGCCGCCTTCCATCCGCATTTGAAGAAAATGTCCTTTACAGCCTCACATTGCAAGATGTAGGTGGCCTCCCTTTCCTTGTAGCCATGGTCTTCCACATCTTTCGCGCTCTTTTTCAGCTCGGCGATCTCTACATCCTTCTTCTTCTTAAGCTTGGCCAGCTCGCGTAGATATTTATCTTTCCGCTCGGCCAAAGCCTTTTGCTTATCTGCTTCAGCCAGGTTGACTAGTCCGGTGAGGCGGGCTATTTCGGTGTGTAGCTCGGCCATTTTCTGCTTAGACTCCTCTAGCTCGGCCGTCTTAGCATTGGTCTCTGCTACGGCCAGTCGTGTGGTCTTACGCAGCTCTAACACGCGCTTGTGAGCGACATGATTCTTCTGCATGGCCTGCAAAATGAGAGATAGTATAGTTAAAACTATACAAACGGATGTACAAACTGGAAAAACAAGCAGAGAAACTTACCAGCACCATCGACTTTGTCGCCGAGCGGATGGCCTTCAGCTCGGTCAGATGATCATGATGCTCTATGTCGGCTGGCAAGCACACGCTCTTGGCAAGGTTGAAGACGAGCGAGTGGTTTTTTTCAACGACCACTGAATCTGTGCTTATTATGGCTCGGTTCTTATACGTCACTTTTGGTGCCCACTCTGAAGTAGGGGTGAGCAGCGAATATACCGATCCGCCAAAACCGACCAAACCGAATCGATCCGTCGCATTTTGGACGGATACGTGATGACGAGCGGACGGTTGTGGATTGATTTTCTCCATTCCACCAATCTAGCGGACGGATGGCGGATTTGAGATTCCTTTGGCCGCAACCGAACCACCAAACCGCGAGCACCCCTAGTAATTTATAAGACTTTGTGTTTTTAGTTTGTTTAAATATTCTGTTGAAAAAAAGTTTTCAACTTGAATATCTTATTTGAATTGAAAAAAATAAACGTATTATTTATCTATATTTTTTAGTTTTAAATCTATCTCTAAAAATAATAAATAGAAAATATGATATTTGCTTGTTGGTTTTTGTTTTCAAAAATAGATATAGATGTAACAATACAGAGACATACAATCGCTACTACTACTTTATTTATGGTTTTGGTGGTTTGAATTATTTTTATATTTTAAGAACCACAGATTGTAATGCATGTTGTGATTTTGATATTCTAAAGTTTCAAACTTTCTTACCTTGGATGAGGCATGCAGTGATTGTAATATTTTTTTAAGTCATTGACTGTAATACTTTCTTCTTCTTTTTTTTTTCTTTTTTTTTGAGGAAGTGCACAAGTTGAATTATGTTGAAAATTTATAAAATTTTAAACCGCCAAACCGATTCGCATCCATCCGCCAAACCGCCAATCCGCTCAATCCACATCCGCCGGATTGGCGGACGGATGCGGATTGATTTTCTCTAATCCGCCAATCTGGCGGACGAACGGCGGATTGGAGGTTCCGTGGCCGCAACCGACCCGCGCCCACCCTTACTTTGAAGGGCTAACCCGGTCAGAACGCACTAGTTCTGGGCTCGACTGGGTGGATTGAGGAAGTATGGTATCATCTTCGTCAATGAGGTGTTGTGGCTCGGTAACAGATGTGCGAGCGCGCTTGCTTGGCCGAGATGACAAGGCTCGGGCCGTTGGAAGGGCCACCACGGCCTCATTTGTTTGGCCGACTTATGGTACCTCAGCTTGGGTCGTCTCGGTAATCAATGCTCGGACAGCTCGACGTTTGGCCATCTCTTGTTCTTCGATTAGTGGAATGAGATTGATTTGGGGTAATGTTGGATCTGGTTCTAGTGAAGGTTCCAGGAGGAAACCTGTCACCATGGTCTTCCTCCTACTGTTGTGTCTATATGTCGGTTCAAAATTGAGTAGCTCGGCCCAACCTCGATCGCGGTACCGAAGTGCGGAGTGAAGTGTGTCAAGATTGGGGTATTGGTACTGCAACTTTAGTTGGTTCAAGTCTGCATAAAGAAAAAGGAAATGGTTAGCACGGTGCAAAACTTATAAACAGAGTAAAGAACGCACAAGCTAAGCCGAGGTATTCATACCGACTACTCCCTTATTCCAGTTAATTCGGTCGCCCAGTATCTGGGCTTCCTGGTTTTCGAAGTTGCCCGAGACTCAGAAAAAGTCATTGTCATTTACGTCTTTGTCCGGTGTGTTTTTGATTATTTTCTCTCGGCGTCTTCTTATTCTTAAATAGTATACCCAGCCATCTTCATTCTAGCCAAGTGAATATCGGTGAAATAGCTCGGCTAAACTGAGGTTGAGGCCAAGTCGGCGATTTAGCTCGGCGATGCCATTTATTATTCTGTAAGAATTGGTGCTAAGTTGGGTTGGGCATATTCTTGTCTGCCTAAGGAATTCACAAATGAGTGGCTGGACTGGGAATCGGAGACCAGCTTCAACAATGGATAGTACGGTAAATGGAACGAAACCTTGTTTTCCCCAGGGCGTGGTATCTAGTTCAGCGCTAAGGAAAGATAGACGTCGTCTGGAATTTGGTAATCCTTGCGGAATTCAGCAATAACCCTTGGTGAGTTTACTAGGAATCGATATTTACCCTTTTATGACTTAAATTATGTATAACTTAGCCCGGAGTCCTAGCGCGGTGTTGAGATGATGTTGAGTATCTCGGTTGAGCGTACAAATGTGTGCCTGGCCAACCTAGTCAGAGTCTGCAAAGTGGAGATAAAAAGTGTTAAGCCTAGACCATTGGACTGGGCTAAGTACAAAGGCAAAATAAATATAACCCTAGTTCGGTTACGTGGGGTGCAACCAGTTTTTAGTTCAGTTGGAGCAAAACTCTTTTAGCTCGGCTGAATAAAAAGGAAGGTTTTTGGACCGATTGTAATAGAAAGAGTGGCGCAAAATCTTAGTTCGGTCAATGGGTGGAGTTTTCTAGTCCAGTTTTGTGCGCACCTTGGAGCAAACAGATTTCTAGTTCGGTCGTAATCTTATTTCAGATCAAATACATCATGTTACAGATTGAGTGAGAATCTAGTAGAGGATCTATCATATGGTTTTTGAGACCAAGAGGTTATTTCTCATTGATGTGAAAACTGTGCTAGTATGTTTTGAAAAACATACATATACTATGTTGTATATTGCTATACTATACGAAATAAGTGGAAAGAAAGAAGGCTGGAATCACTTACAGCTTTGAGTCGAAAGGATGAAGATCAAGACCGCAAGGATGAGCTTCGCAGGTGCTGTGTTTGGAAAGATGGAGGCTCAGAGGGCAAGAGAGAGAAGATGAACAAAAATGTTTTGATTTGAAAAGATAAGGGTTTTGTATAAAACCTATATTTGGGCGGAACTGTTCAAAATTCACGAGGTATGAAGACGGCGTTGACAGCTGTACTCAACTGATAGGGGCCAGCCACGTGTCTATGGGAATAGCAAGCGATTCAGATGTACAGCGTGACTGAAAAGACGTTTTTTGACCGGACAAAATTAGTAGCCCGGTATCAATTTAGCTCAGTTAAAGGCCAACTTTTAGCTCGGCTGGTAAAAAGGTAATCCCAAACCCTGCATGGCAGATGGAATTAAGGGGCAATTGAAAGGGAGTTTTTATGTGCATTAGGGCCGAGCTAGGCCCAAGCGTAGTAATGGGTCGTTTTATGGGCCGTGGTGAAAAGGGCTTAGCAAAGTGGACTTTGCTGCTAGCTCAGTCCAAGTATGGTTGCAGTCACCACGGTCGGAGTGGTGATGATTAGCTCGGTCATAGTATTCGGAGCCGAGGGGTTTGGGCTTCTTAAGGTAGACCTTGCTCTTGTTAGCTCGGTCAAAGCTTGCTGTAGTTAGCTCGGTCTCAATAGACAAAACCGAGGTACAAGTGAACAAGAGCCGAGTTAGGTGTTGCATGTGAACACGCTGAATTAAATGTGTCAAAGGGATGGTGTTAGCTTGGTCATACTAACATCTAACCGAGGTAAAACCATCTCACTTGGTTAAAGCAGTGAGGGGGGTGTTGAAGGACTATCTTTCAGGAATGTGATTCCTAGGAAGACTCTACCTTGAGAAGTAAGGGTCCTACTAGGATTGTGCCACGCAAAACCTATAAAAGCTCACGACATAACTTATGTAGAGGTAACACACAACTTTGATTCTCGGATTACACAGAGCTTTTGTCTATCTGTCTATTTTGCTGACTTAGGCATCAGAGAGGTATCAGGCACACACCCGCCGACTAGCTCACGTTTATGTTTTCAGGGAACAAAACGACGACGTTTGGAGGAGCGCAGACTTGATCAACAGGATTATACGAGAACATTATTTCGTGCTCGTATAATACTTTATCTCTTCATACTTCTCTTATGGGGCTCAATTCTAAACTCGCACCAGTGATGCAAACCGTCTATCTCGTAAGTTTTGCAATAAAGGTTATCTATACAAAAAATAAATTTCATCGGACATTTATAAATATAAAAAAATCACATTTTTTCTTATAAAATAAATGATAAATATAATTGTAAACTTAAATTATTTATTTTTTAAAATAAAATATTATTTATATATTTATAATTATTCAATAAAATTAATTTTTTATAGAAGTAACTTTTACAGAAATGTTTATGAAGTAGTATGAATTTAGAATTAAGTCCTATAAAAAAGAATATGAAAAGAAATATAGAGAGATAAAGATATGAAGGGAGACTATCATATACTATTGATGATGAAATAACAGTGTGTGGCATAAATTTCCCACTCCATGTTCTCAAAAAAAAAAAAATAATAATGATAATAAAACAAAATAAAATCCCCACACTGTACATACAGCTCAAAACAAGCACAGTTGGCACACACACCACAAACACACGTACACGCTCTCTGCTTGGTGTTCGCTTTTTTTTTTTTATCAGATCAGATCTGTGTGAGAAAATGGGGAGGAAAATGGAGTATTTGGCAATGAAGACCGATCATCCAGCCCCAACCCAATCGATGAATTCCGACATGAATGAGCTGAAGATCGCCGCCAAGCGACTCATTAACGACGCCACCAAGGTCGGTGGCCTAGGGTTCGGCACTTCCTTCCTCGAATGGGTTTCCTCCTTTGCTGCTATGTATGTTTTCTTTCTATCTCTCATTTTCACCCAAATTTCACTTTAGTTCAGGGATGATCTGAGGATTGACTTTTTAATGACTTTTTTAGCTAAAACGTGACATTCCCAAATGATGCCTTAGTCCATCATCATCATCTTTTAATTTAATGAACACTCTTTTTCAGTGATTATTTCACCTATAGTTTGTTTGAGTAGTAAGAATTGCTAACACTACCTTTAAAAAAAAAAAAAAAAAAAAAAAAAAAAAAAAACTCGGATTGTTGTACTTGTACATGGTCAATTCTTCTGTAGCCAATTTTTCTATTTTTATATTGCACCTCAATCTTTTTTTGTACCTAGAGCAAAAGAAAATAAGAAGGATCTCTTGTGGCCAAATAATCCAACCGCCCTTTCCATTTGGAAAATATACACCTCTGGCAACTGTGAAAATGGATCATGGGAGAAATAGTGCTTGAATGTGTTTGTAAAATACATGCAGCCAATGGGGTAAATCAAAAGTTATAACTGTAGCATGTTCATTACATCTATATGTTTCATGAAGTCTATTCCTGCCACTTGTACATTCTGTTGAGTATCCACACCATGCGTCAAGAATGGAGGCTGCAGATTTGCTGAAGATTTTCAAACCTAGGATGGCTGTGTTAATGGCTCTCCATTTATTTTTGGTAGTTGGTTGTTGACAAGTAGTTCTCCCGTTTGTGTATGAATGGGAAGAGCTGTGAGCTGAGATTGTAATGAGAGAGATCAAGAGTGAAGAAAAAAGAGAGTTGTGAGAAGTGTATGATCTGTGAGAGTGAGACTCCTCCTCCTCTGTTTTTGTATTTGTTTTAATCATAGTGAAACTTTCTTTCTTTCACCCGTGGACGTAGGCTTTGGGGCGAACCACGTAAATATTTGTGTCTCATTTGTGTGTGTGATTGTTTGTAGATCATTTTATGGATGTCTTTAATCACAACAAGTGGTATCAGAGTCTCGTTGGTCGTTTTTTTAGAAAAACATGGTGTGTTTTTTAGAATTGCCTATAAATCAAAATGGTCAAAATCCACTTTTGATCACACTAGGTTGAAGCCCTCGACGAGACGAGCACACAAAAAAATTGCATCGCAAAAGGACGCCAGAGGAGCCTTCACGTGCTGTCACGCGCCCTCTGACACCTTGACCACGCGTAGCGACGCGCTACACGCATGGCACGCATTGTCCTCGTTCTTCCAATCGCTGACGTCATCCTATCGCCGGTTGCTGACGTCTAGCTGTCAATACCAATGCCATCTGACCCGCGTTGACCGAGCCGACCCGGAGCCAAGCCGCGTTGACCAAGCCGCTGACGTCAAACTGACGCCAACCGAACCTAAGAAATTATTCGATGCTTCTCAGCCACTCCAGATTCTACCGATCTGAACCGTTCAACCTGTTTTGGCTTGATCTGAGCTATTTGAAATTCGTTTTTGACGATCCAATAGTGTTTTCCAACTATTTGGAATATTTTGGACATATCTGTATAGTCAAATTTTGCAAATCAGATTTTAAAAATTTGCAGTTTTTATTTTTGGCAATCCGAAGTGCTCTTCCGGCTAATTTGAGTAGTCCAGTCCGGACTCAATAGGGAAGTCTGATTTTTCAGACAGAGATCATTTTTGTAGAGACAATTATAGATGAAGGAATCAACATTGGCTTCAGGATCCATGATCAAGCTAAATGCTTCCAACTATGCAATTTGGAAGCCAAGAATGGAGGATGTCTTATATTGTCGAGATTTGTTTGACCCCATTGAGCTTAATGGAGTTAAACCTGCTACGGGGAAGGATGAAGATTGGAAGCGGAAGAACCGAAAGACCATTGGCCAGATCAGACAATGGATCGATCATAGTGTCTTCCACCATGTCGCCCAAGTGACTGATGCCTATGCTCTTTGGACAAAATTAGAAGGCATATACCAGTTGAAGACTGCTTGAAATAATGCCCTTCTAATGAGAAGGCTCGTAAATTTGAAGCTGAAAGGCGGCGTCTCTATTGCAGAACACACCAGTGAGTTCCAAAATCTGGTAAACGAATTAGCAATTGTGGAGCTGGATGATGAGATGCAGGCTCTATTGCTGCTCAGCCCCTTTGCCAGATAGTTACGAGATGTTGGTGGTGTCCTTCAGCAACTCTGCACCTAAAGGAAGACTGACCACGAACATGGCCACTGATGCTTTATTTAGTGAAAAGGTAAGAAAGAAAGATATGGGTGGAGATCAATCCCATGCTCTCGTCACAGAAATATAGGTGGAGGCAGAGGTAGGGGAAAAAGCAAAAGTAAAGGACGTAGCAGAGGAAAATCTCAAGACAGAGGGAAGTCCAAAGATGGTACAAGCCGGCCAAGGTTCACATGTTACCATTGTAGCTAGGAGGGTCACATAAAGAAATATTGTTATGCCTTGAAGGGAGAACAAAAACAAGGCAATAGACAGTCAAAGATCGAAGATGGGAACACTGCAATTATTGTCTCTGAGGATATTTCATTATTCTCTGTTGAAGAAGAAGAATGCATCCATATGTCAGACAACGATACCGAGTAAGTAGTAGATACAGCAGCTTCCTATCACGCTACACCCCGGAAGGAGTTCTTTAGTGCGTATCAAGTTGGAGATTTTGGTACAGTGAAGATGGGTAACTCCAATTTTTCGAAGATTATGGAAATCCGTGATGTTCATATCCAAGCCAAAGTTGGGTGCACAATGGTGTTAAAAGATGTCAGGCATGTTCCCGATTTATGCCTGAATCTTATTTCAGGGATAGTCTTAGATTGACAAGGCTATGAGAACTACTTCGGCAAGTACAAGACTCATGTGAATGTGATTTTAGATAGCCTCAACGCAGTAAAAGATGAAGCATCACCAAGTCACATGAGTGAGAAAGGGTTGCAGATTTTGGCAACGAAGTCTCTTATTCCCTTTGCCAAAGATGCAAAATTGAACCCTTGTGACAACTGTTTATTTGGGAAGCATCATAGAGTCGCTTTCCACTCATCATCTAGAAGACAATCAGAGTTGTTGAGCAGAGTATACTATGATGTATGCGATTCCATAAAAGTGGAATCTTTGGGTGGTAAAAAATACTTTTTGACATTTATTGATGATAAATCACGGAAGGTATGGGTTTATGTCTTAAAGACCAAAGCTAAGGTGTTCCAGCATTTCTAGACATTCCATGCTATGGTGGAAAGAGAGACCGGCAAGAAGCTGAAGTGTCTCCGAACAGACAATGGAGGCGAGTGCACGTCCAAGGAGTTTAAAGCCTACTGTGCTACTCGCGACATCCGGCATGAGAAGATTGTTCTTGGAACCCCACAACACAATGGTGTAACTGAGAGAATGAACCGGACCATTGTAGAGAAGGTCAAATGTATGTTCAAAATGGCAAAGCTACCAAAGTCATTTTGGGGAGAAGCTGTTCGTGTTACTTGCTAATTGATCAACAGATCGCTATCAGTTGCACTGAATTTTGAGATTCCAAAAAAAGGTATGGTCTGGAAGGGAGATTTCTTACTCTCACTTGAGAGTGTTCAGGTGCAAAGCATTTGCACATGTATCCCTTAGTATTAGGAATCATTCATGCTGCTCACGATTCTTCCTCAGAAGTGTGATTCTGCGCTTTTGACTCAATTTCGTTGAAGAATCGCGATTTTGATGCAAAAGAAACGCGAATCTGATCACGAATCTGTCTTCTTCTCAGTCAGAGCTCCATCGCTGGCCATCGCAAGACATAGGACATCACAGACTTCTCTCTTCCTACTCGCTACTTCTCTCTCCTCTTCACTGGTCATCGCAATGTCTCCCTCTTCGCTGGTCTTCGCGGGTTGCACATAGGCCATCGCGACTTCTCTCTCTTCTTCGCTGGTCTTCTCGCGACGTCTCTCTCTCTGTGATCTTCTCTTCTCAGATTAAAGATATATATATATATATAATACATACTATGTATATATATTTGTTTTTATAAATATATGTTTTTATTTATATATATATATATATATATGTTTTAATTTATATATTATATATTATCTTTATAAATTTATGTGTATTTATTTATGTATTATATTTATTAAATTAATATTATTATGCTATTTTTTTAAGAAAATAACATAAAACATAATTTTTAACAAAAATATTTTAGAATAAATTAAAAAAATTCTAATAAAAGTATATAATTAGAATATTTTAACATATAATTTTTTATAATTCTTATTTATTTATAACATGTATAGTCCCATAAAAAAATATAATCTTACAATATATTTTTATATATTATTTAAAATATACACAAATGCTCCCAACTAACGATTCTTGAAATGTCTACGATTCCCCGCTCCCGCTTTCGTTCCCTTTCCCGTTCCCACTTCGTGCAACTAAGATGTATCCAAGGAGCACAGGTAGAAGTTGGATGACTCTATGCATTTTTATTGGATATGGAGATAAAGAATTTGGATACAGATTGTGAGATCCTAAAAATAAGAAGGTTATTCGAAGCAGATATGTGGTGTTTCAAGAAGGCCACATACTTTAGAAGACTTTGGGCAACTAGCCAAACCCAAAGTAGATGATGTTTCAGAAATTGTTCCGAATCCTACACCATCACAGCATGCCACTAATGAAGAAGAGCTACCACAGTATGCAGCCAATGATGTAGAGGTGCAGGATGGATTTCCAAAAGAAGAAGATCTAGAAGAAGAGGGTATTGAGCAGGGAAAGCCACAACCCCTTTTTCCAGAGACTGTTGGTCCACAGTTATGAAGATCAACAAGAGAGCCTAAGCCGTCGTCGAAATACCCTGCTTCTATGTATATTTTGCTTATTGATGAGGGGGAGCCAGAAAGTTTTCAAGAAGCTCAGAATCATAAGGAAAAGAGTAACTGGCAGCAAGCTATTCAAGAAGAGATGTAGCCCTTGCAGAAAAATCAGACTTACTGATTTGGTAAAACTTTCCCAGGGTCAAAAAGCACTGAAGAACAAATGGGTGTTCAAGTTGAAGAAAGATGACAGCGGAAAGCTAGTCAAGTATAAGGCTCGATTGGTTGTCAAAGGTTTTGGGCAGAAGAAAGGTATTGATTTTGATAAAATCTTCTTGCCAGTTGTGAAAATGATATCTATTCGAGTAGTTTTGAGCCTAGCGCCCAGTTTGAATTTGGAACTTGAACAAATAGATGTGAAGACGGCATTTCTCCATGGTAATTTGGAGGAAGAAATTTACATGGAGCAACCAAAAGGTTTTGAAGTAAAAGGAAAAGAAAACTTAATCTGCAGATTGAAGAATAGTCTCTACGGCCTCAAACAGGTGCCAAGACAGTGGTACAAGAAGTTTGACTCATTCATGGTGGGTCATGAGTACAAGAGAACTGCTGCAGACCAGTGTGTATTTGTCAGGAAATTTCCCGATGGAAACTTCATCATACTCCTGCTCTATGTTGATGACATGTCAATTGTTGGTCAGGATGTTGCAGCATTCAGATCACTGAAGGAGTTATCACAGTCTTTTGACATAAAGGACCTAGGCCCTGCAAAATAAATTTTGGGCATGAAAATTATACGTGACAGGAAAGCCAAGAAGTGGTTGTCACAAGGGAAGTGTGTTGAACGGGTGATTGATAAGTTCAACATGAAAGATGCCAAGCCACTCAGTACTCCGCTGGCTAATCATTTCAAGTTGAGCAAGAGTTCTTGTCCTTCCTCTACAAAACAAAGAGAAGAGATGGAGGTAATTCCCTACTCTTCTGCAGTAGGGAGTTTAATGCATGCAATGGTATCTACTCAACCAGATATTGCTCAAGATGTTGGAGTTGTGAGTAGATTTCTTTCCAATCCAGGGAAAGAGCATTGGGAGCAGTCAAGTAGATTCTGAGGTACATTAAGGGTACATCTAAAATGTGTTTGTGCTTTGAAGGAGCAAAACCAGTCTTGGAATGCTATACTGATTCAGATATGGCAGGCGATCTTGATGGTAGGAAATCTACATCAGAATTTTTGTTCACTTTTGCAGGGGGGAGTTGTGTCTTGGCAGTCCAAGCTGCAGAAGTGTGTTACTTTATCCACAATCGAGGTAGAGTATATTGCCGCAGCGGAAGCTGGGAAAGAGATGTTGTGGTTGAAGCGGTTTCTCCAAGAATTTGGACTAGAGCAGGAGAAGTTCATGGTACATTGTGATAGCCAGAGTGTCATAGACCTAAGCAAGAATTCTGTGTACCATTCTCACACGAAGCACGTTGATGTTCGATATCATTGGATACGCAAAGTGATGGAGAAGCAGTTATTGGAACTAGTCAAGATCCACACAGATAAGAATCCTGCCAGCATACTTACAAAGGTGGTCTCGAGAGACAAACTCAAAGAATGCAATGACATTGTTGGAATGGACTTCCAGCAAGGATCCTACTCCTCATGGGTGTGGAGGGGGAGAATTGTTGAGTATCCACACCATGCGTCAAGAATGGAGGCTGCAGATTTGGGCTACAGATTTGCTGAAGATTCTCAAACCTAAGGTGGCTGTGTTAATGGCTCTCTATTTATTTTTGATAGTTGGTCGTTGGCAAGCAACTCTCCTGTTTGTGTATAAATGGGAGGAGCTGTGATCTGAGATTGTAATGAGAGAGATCAAGAGTGAAGAAAAGAGAGAGTTATGAAAAGTGTATGATCTGTGAGTTGAGTAGAGAGAGTGAGACTCCTCTGTTTTTGTATTTGTTTTGACCATAGTGAAGCTTTCTCTCTTTCTCTCGTGGACGTAGGCTTTGGGCTGAACAACGTAAATATTTGTGTCTCATTTGTCTGTGTGATTGCTTGTAGATCATTTTCTGGGTGTCTTTAATCACAAGACATTGTGGCAAGTGATACATTGAATAAATATTTGTCTTTGCTGCTAAATTTCCAGTTTCCAATCTGTTCCTCAAAATATAGACATGCTTGTGGTTGAGTTTCATTTACTAAATATATGATTTCATAGTCTATATGAATTACTTAGGAATGAGTACCTTCTTCTTCTTTTTTTCCCCTTTTCTGTTTTTTTTTTTTTTTTTTTTTTTTTTTTTTTTTTTTTTTTTTTTTTTGATTCCTGTGCAGTTACTTCTGTATGTATAAATTGCTGCTGTGTGTAAGAACCTTTGCTTTCCTATCAACCCTGTTTTGTACACAAAATTTTGGTTATGCAGTTATTCAGAGATCGAGTTCATTGTGCTTTCTTGGTTCAAATATAACCTCAAAACTAGCAAGCACAAAAGATGTTTCTTCTAAAATTTTGACAGAAGTAGACTCAATAGCTACAATTGGGTGATGGATTAGACCTTAACCACTACCTTAAAAACTGCAGTTATGGAATAGTCATATTATCATTCATTTTAGTTTTTTTTGCTAATTCATAATATCATTCACTTGCTTCTTCACTTTATTTGACATTTGCATACGTATATACTGAATTTTTTTTTATAAACTACTTGTGGATAGACTTATATATATGAACCACTGCCTTGTATATGTTTCTGCAGTTACTTGTTGATATTGGATCGAACAAACTGGAGAACAAACATGCTGACTTCACTTTTAGTTCCTTATATTTTCTTTAGTCTTCCGTCAGTCTTGTTCAACTTCTTAAGGTGAACATCTCTAATTTGGAGTTGAATTTCTTTTATTATGTTTTCCTTCATTGAAATTGATGTTCTTCATGAGTTAATTTCTTCATTCTTTAGAGGAGAGTTTGGGAAATGGGTTACTTTCATTGCAGTTGTACTAAGGCTTTTCTTCCCTCGCTATTTCCCGGGTAAGAATCCAGTTACAGAATTGTTTATCAAGTATGGCAAGCTTGCAGAATAATATGCTATCTGTTTCCCCATCATTGAGCCTGCTGATAGTTTTAGTTGTTTATTACCTGCAAAACTACGTATTTTGGCTCGCTGTTTATGTTTGCTCGATAAATTTCTTGCTAAATTTACAATTTTAAAATTTCATCCCTCTCATTTTCATATTGTTGTGAAACCTAACCAGAAGGAAAGAACCTTGCAAGGGTATCAGAATACCATCTTTTACTTGCAATTTGTTATCCACTCTGTCTCCTTATAAGCTTTGCTTTTGCTGAACTTTGAACTTCTGCTTCCAAGCCTGCTGGTTCTAAATTTGCACCATATTTTAGATCCTTGATCTGAATGTTTTGAGTTGTGTAAATTGGTACAAGGAATTGGGTAATTACCATCTTAAAGATGAATAATAAGGGTTGGTTTGGCATAAACTAAATAATACAAAAAGTCTCTATCCTATTTAAGTCATATCATCTTATTTAAATCACATCACATCTCTAACACATCACATCAAACCCAACCCAAACCCAATCCATATAAGCCAATAAGTCAAAAAATACAGGGTTCGTTTGGTTTGTATTTTTAAAAAAATTTTGGGAAATTTTCTCTACAAATAAGTTTTTAAAAGTAATCAAACCAAACAAATTTTCCCAAAAAAATTTCTCAAAACTTGTAAACCAAACAAGTTTTTCAAACAAATCTCTCTCTCACACACATCAAATCAATCACTTTTTCCAAAACTCTCTCTCAAAATAATTTTCCAAAACATCTTTTGAAAAAAACCAAACCAAACAACTTTTCGTACTTTTTATCTCTAAAACACATCCCTCAAACACAAACCAAACATACCCACACTTTTTTAGAACATCCCAAACCAACCCTAAATTTCCCAGAGTGAAAGACTCCATGGCTAACCTCTTTTCCATCATATAAGGAGGGTATGATACAAAAATCTACATCATCCCCTGCTAGATATCCTTGTAGTGCCTATTCCATTTGTTGAAGCTGTGCTTATTGTCTCATTGACTCATGCATTCTTGGCTGTTTGAATCATCTTTACTAAAATGCTTTTTACTAGTTGATGACTAAGGTTTAAAAAAACAGTGTATATTTGTAAGTAATTAAAAAAGGGAGATCTGAACAAAACTGATCTGTAAAAAATGCCATCTGATTATTCTCTTAGATTTTGATTTAATAATGTTTGGGAGGAAGTTATTTACTTTTTTATTTTTTGTGGCCTATCTGTCATAGTATAATTCCTTGTATTTTGAAGAGGCTATTTTCCTCTCATCTGGGCTAATTTTTTTCCTTTGATTGCCCAACTACAGACCAAAATGAAAAAAGGAGCTCAAACTATACATTTCTTGATAATTTTGTATATTACACTTCTATCACTAGACTCCAAGAATTGTGTACCCATGAAATTCATGCACTCACCAATTTACAGTACAAATGTGCTTTAAGTTGGAGTGTACACCTTCAATTAGAAGTGCCGTACTCATTTACTGCATTTTATGTCATCTTCATCAATTGTGTTGACTAAATGCAGACTGGCTGGAGATGCCCGGGTCGTTGATTCTTCTTCTGGTAGTTGCTCCAAACTTCTTTGCACACACCCTACGGGAGAACTGGGTCGGCGTCTTTATATGTCTTATTATTGGTTGTTATCTGCTGCAAGAACACATCAGGGCATCCGGTGGATTCAGAAATTCCTTCACACAAACCAATGGTATATCTAACACACTCGGCATTATCCTTTTGTTAGTGTATCCGATCTGGGCACTGGTAGTCGACTTCATCTAGTTTTTACTGCCTACACCAACTTTGTTTGTGATTGTTCAATAGTTTTGCAGTGTTGGATGATAGACTTTTCAGTAGTTTTAAAAAACTGTATCAGATCATGTTTTCTCTCGTTTCACATTTGTAACTTTTACCTGGATCAGAATTTTGAAAGCTTATCTGTTACTATAAAGTTTTTCGTCTGCGAAGTAAAGATGTTCTTCCCTATCAATTTTTGTAAGCTTTTGATTAATTTTTTATTTTGGATTTTAAGGATGGTATGTTTGTCCTTTATTTTTTGATAATGGAAATAATAGTCTACCAAAAATATAAGGGAAATAATATGGATAAAAAATAGAATAAAATAAAGCTGACTCTGATGTGTTCAAATTATCTAGTGCCTAAATAATAGATTATTTAAAAAAGAAAAATTGATAAGAGACTAGTCCATCATAATTCAGCGCATATAAAATTCGTAGAATAGAGAATCTTGTAAACTTTTTTGGCCTTCTCAACTTAGGAAGTTTAATTCAAGCAATCATAGGTGTTCACTGGGTTGGTTAACCAGGTTAAGGCCTATTCCTTCTTGCTTTTTTCTAATTTTTTTATTTTAAAAAAAATTCAGAAAGTAAAAAAAATGACTTTTAACCTAGGTGTTCACTGGGTTGATTGAGCAGGTTAAATAATAAAAATCTAGAGGTTATGGTTTAAAGTTTGTTATTCTGCCTACAAATTGTCCTAGCATGTTTATATACACCCACAAAATTGTTTTGCACTTAGCAGCACATAACAACATTAAGTAGATATTTGACAAAATTGTTTTGCACTTAGCAACACATAACAACATTAAGTAGATATTTGACATAATTGTTTTGCACTTAGCAACAAATAACAACAGTAAGTAGACATTTGACATAACGTCCATTTCTCATTTTTATCGCGTATTTTTTCCCCTAATTTAATTATTTTATATATGAATTTGTGAAATATAATTTTGAACAATATCATCCAATTGATTAATTTGTGCGCTTTTTTTTTTTGAAATAAATAATATTTTTTGGTTAAAATTAAAAATAAATAAAATAATTATGGTTGCATATTTACTAATGTTTTTTACCCATTTTGTATTTTGAACCAACTCAAACTGTTGGTTTGAAATTGTTATAATATTCAATCAATTTCATTTTTTAAAAATGGACAAGTTAGTGACGGGTTAAAAAATTCTCAATCTGTATAATTCTATTAATAACTTTCTCAAAATCAACTCAAATGAACCCGCCTACAACCCTAATAATTTAATGTATAAGTAATCTATGCTCATCGAGAAAAATTTTAAACTTCTAGAATTATCGAAGAAAATTAGTATGAGAAATATCTCCTTTCAACTAATAATGTGCTGACATGAAGTTAACTAAAAATTTCCATAATACAGATTACAAAATAAAAATAATACTTTTATTAGCCGCTCATAAATTATTTTGAATCTCTCAATTTTTAATTTATTTATTTATTATTATAATAATAATTTCAAATAAAATTACTACAGAGGATATCATTAATTTTGGGACACTCTATCTCACAATTAAACCTACACACTCACTACATCATGAATTAGGATTTATGAGAGCACCCACTTCCATCACCACCCATCCATCTTCTCCAAATCTTACCTTCAAAACCTACCAACTCTCAAAACCTTGAAACCCCTTTGGTAGCAATATTCCGACAGTAATGATGACAACCATTTGATTACATATACTTCTCTAGTAATGATAATGAGTAGAAATTTTTCTAGCAACCACAACTCCATAAAACAAGAGGAGTATAACAATAAAAACTTAGAGGAGATTCATAACTTTAATGTTATTCTTAACTCAAAGGAGATTGACTTTGTAACGGTAAGTTTCTTGGGAAAAATGACAAAATAATAAAATATGTTTGTCATTTTTTCAGGATTGAACTCCTGAACATATGACCGAAATTTGAGAACACAGGTCCGAACATTATTTATTTGTTCGAGAACCGATAACCGAACATTTATTATTTGTTTAAAAATAGGTAACCGAACATTATTCATAGGTTCAAACCTATTTTACTGAGAAAATTAAACCAATTATTATAATTTTTTCTTCAAGAGAAGAAATTATTATGAGAAAACTAAGAAATTATGTGTGTATATATATACATAGAGAGAGGGGGAATATACCAATTGCGACAATGGTAGATAAGGCATCAGAAATAGTAATCACATTGCATTTTCTTCTTCTTTTTTCGTGGGCTTTATTAGGGTTTTTTTGGAAGTGAGATTTTTTTAAGGTGTGGAGGTATACATTTAATGGGTGAAATATTTTCACAAGGATAATTTTGATATTATTTAAGGAAAAAAAGAAATTTTAAAAGTTTCAAAATTTATAACTAAGAGTTCAAAAAAATAAAAGATCTAAAATAATTCATAGGGTGCTAATGGCACCCCTCAATAAAAATCATGGCACATATATTTCATATAGCGTGTTCATTTTGTTAATTAAAATATGGCGCAAAAAGAAATAAATATTATTAAGATGGATTTTTGACTCTTTATATAAAAAATATATAAAAATCGTGTCAATGTGAACGAATCTTTAACTTTATAAAATAAATAAAAATAAATATTTTCACTTTTTGATATAAATTAATTTTTTTAAGTTTTTATTTTTTTTAATATTTTTTAATTAAAAAAATCATTTGTCAAAAGAGTCTACATATTTCAAATGCAGAAAAAATGGCAAGCAATGTTATTTTATTTAGAAAAAATTGGTGATAAATCTAATTTAGAGAGTCTCTAAGATAAGAATAATACTTGGGACCCCCTTTTGGGGGTCACCCCCTCACCCCCTTTGCTACGTGGCGGGTGGTGATTGGAGGAGTAGGAAAAAAAAGAAAAAGAAAAAAAAAATGTAACCAATGAGAGAGAGAGGGGGTCAAAGGGAGTGGGAGGAAAAGGGGGGATGAATCATTGTTGCTAAGATAATAGGTCCAATGAATATTTTTTGTTGGTGATAGGTTCATCTTTTTTGAAATAATTTTGTTTCTAATTTTACCTTGTTGACTTTTTTTTATTCGTTGACTATCTGTTCAAAAAAAATTATCTGTTCAAATTTTTGGTTATATGTTCAATTTTTTTGTCTATCTGTTCAACTTTTTGTCTATCTGCTCAAATATTTTTTCATCTATTGAATTTTTTTAACTTATTTGTTGAATTTTTATAATTTATTTTTTCTATCTATTCTATTTTTTACCTATTTAATTTCTTATTTTTTCTTTATCTGTTTATCTCTTGAAAATCTCTATTTAATTTGGACAGATAAGAGACAACCTTTTATCTATACAAATTTTAGTTGCAAAAATTTTGTTTGCACAGATATAAATGATATACATCTGTTTCATCATCATCATCAAATTTTTATCTATCCAAATACAAATCATCAAACAATTGAAATACATACACAACAACAACAATACATATACATACAAATGGATCAATATTTGAATTTGATAAAAGAATTGGTGAAGCATTGAGTAAAAAAAATTCATTAAACAGTTAAAATACTCAATAAAAATAAGAAATAAAAAATAATAATTATTTCATATTATTTATTGATAAATAGAAAACAAGTACTTGTTCTTCTTCATAAGCCCTAGAGAGACGATCGGTGAATTTAACACTTATGCAATTCCTCCTCCGTATCAGTGAATACTACTTTAGGTTAGTTAATTTCGACTATTCTCTCTTCGTTTCTCTATAATTCTCTTTCAATAATGTCTCAATTTGAACTCATTGATGTTATCACTATTTCCAAAAGCCACATATATATTTATACATACATATGGATCTATATATATATAAAATGAGCACATTTATATATGAAGAGAGAAATAAATGAGAAAATGTGTATAAACAAACACATTTTCGTGTGTATGTGTGTGTGTGTGTATATATGTGTGTGTGTTATCTGTGTAGAAGAACTAATAAAAGAAAATGAAGAGGAAAAATGAGAGAGAAAGTTTCCATGTAGAGGAGTCCAGATCCGAGGCAGCGGAGTCCAGATCCGGTAGATCAGGTAGCTTTGATCGTGGAGGAAGGCAGAGGAATCCGATGACCCAGAGGAGAGCTAATTCTCAATGGCAACAACAATCCGAAGCCAAAGATTCTAGTACGCAAGCCATGGCGACAATCGACGATGGAGTTATGGCTAAAGCGAGAGAGAAAGAGAGAAGAGAGGAGAATGGAGATCACTGGTGTGAGAGTGAGAGAGAGGTACACGGTGGCAACGAGGTTGGAGGTGGAAGTGGAGGTGAGAGAGAAGGTGGCGACGAGAATAGATGTAGAGGTGGTAGTAGTGGCAGTAACTGAGACGATGGAGTAAGCGTTGTCATCGCCATGTATAAGGCGAAGAAAAAAGCAAAAAAGTAAGAGAGAGAGAAGTGTGAGCGTTTAGGGTTTGGACAGTGTTGTAATAACCCCGGCCCATAATTAGCAACTAATCAATTATTAAAGATGCTAATTGAGTGGATCAAGTGAATTATGGGATTAATATGTAAATTGCATGATATTTGGCTTTCTATCTGTTACTTATAGCAATATCTGTTTGGAATTCCACTTTAATATGTAAATTGAAAGCCTTATCGGCATTCGAATCAGAAATTGACTTGATTTATGTACTAGTTAGAATTTATAGAATTTTATGGTAGGTTTAATTAAAATTCGGTTTGAAACAATTAAATTTGATTAAAATAATGACATTTGTTTATTTGTGAGCCATTACCACTTATTAGGCTAATTGAGCCCCACTCACCTCCTTTAGTCATTCTTAACCACACTTGAGCTTTGAAAGGAAGAAAACGTGGGAGAGAGTGAGAGAAAGAAGGAATTGGGATCAAGCTTGAGGATTGGGAGAAATTGCTAAGAGACCTTGGTGGTTTGCTCAAGAACATCTCTAACCAAAAGGAATTGAGAACTTCAGGTAAGAATGTTAGTCTCTAGCCTTGTAATTTAGTTGATTAATGCCTGAAATCAGTTATGTAGGCGAATTAACATGTGAATTGAATTAAAGGTTGGGAATTAAGAATGAATTCATGCATGCATGCATGTTTCATGGCATTTTAGAGATTTATTTCAAAAAATCCGTCATGCATGTGTTGAGTCTATTCTGATTTTGGAAACACAATGAGTTTCATGTGATTTGGTAGCAT